ATCTAATCTCTTCTTCTTCTTCTTTTACCTCACAGGGTGTCTGTTGTGGGGAGGGGAAGGGAAAGGAGTTTGTAAGCCGCTCTGAGACACCTTCGGGTAGTGACGGGCGGGATATAAATCCAATCTCTTCTTCTTCTTCCTCTTCTCCACACACACGCAGTGACCGCTGTTCCATGCCCAGATGACAAAAAACCTCCAGGATCCCCGGCCAAACTGGCCTGGAGAAAACTTGCTTCCTGACCACAACATGGCGATCAGCATTTCCCTGGGTGTGTAAGAAAGGGCCACGAGAACTAAGCACTGAGGCAACCCTTCCTGCCATCCCGTGATCTGCCCAAGTTCAGAGGATCAGCTTTGTGGTAAATAAAATAAAGAGCACAGTAAACAGTGGGCAGACGGCTGGAGGTGCTACAGTGAAGGGAGAGAACTGGATCCTGAAAGGGGAAACCTGACTGGAGAGGAAAGTGATTTGGCAGACAGTGCGGACTCTTCTTCTTCTGGGTTAAGAGACCGGCGCAGCAGCAGACAGAGCAGGCGGTAGGAGAAAGGCATAGAAAAAATTCAGGCGAGAGACGCTCATAAATGGAAATGGCAAAGAAGAGAGCGTAATGGGAGATGACACATCCTTGAAGGTGATGCACACAAATTCCGGGCATGCAGGTCACAAGGGCAAGCAGCGCAGGGGCGGTTTTAAACGCTTCCCACCAAAGTTCAGTTTGAGGAGAGAGCTGCCGTACGCTTGTGTTTTTTGGAAGATTTGCGGTGCAAAGTCCATGCACATTTGGCACACAGCAGAGGGCCGAGACCAAATTTCCCTTCTATGCTGTGGAGTCTTGTGAGCAAAAATTCTACTTGGTGAGCTCTTGGCATTAAAGTTGTGAGCGAGCGATTTGGCTGTTGCATGAATTAGTTTGCTCTGGAGCCCTCCCTTCCTGGGCTAAGACAAAAAGGTGTGAGTCGGACGCTAAAAAAAATTGTGAGTTCACACTGACTCAGCTTAGAGGGAACCGTGGCTGAGACCAGTGTTCCCTCTAAGCTGAGTTAGTGTGAGCTAGCTCACAGTTTTTTAGCCTCTAGCTCACACATTTTTGTCTTAGCTCATGAAGGAGGACTCCAGAGCAAACTAATTTATGCCGTAGCCAAATCCCTTGCTCACAACTTTAATGGCAGTAGCTCACAAAGTAGAATTTTTGCTCACAAGATTCCACAGCTTAGAGGGAGCATTGGCTGAGACTGCCACCAGGTTTGGTGAAAAGGAATTTTTAAGAGAGCCGGTGTGGTGTAGTGGTCAGGGTGTCAGACTAGGATCTGGGAGACCCAGGTTCGAATTCCGGCTCTGCCACAGAAGCTCGCTGGGTGTCCTTGGGACAGTCACACACTCTCAACCTAATCTACTTCACGGGGTTGCGGTGAGGATTTTTTTTTAAAAAAATGAAGGAGAGTAGAATGCTGTAAGCCACTTTGACGCTCCACTAGGGAGAAAGCCGGGGTATAAATGCATGTAAGCCACTTTGATTTTCCATTGGGGAGAAAGGCAAGGTGTAAAAGAATAAAATAATAAATAACTCAGCAGGACGCTAGATTGCAGAACAAAAACGTATCCAAGGACATAGAAATACAATTTGTTTTTTTAAAAATCCCCTCTTCAAAAGTCCTTTGTCCCTGGGTACCTCCTCCTCCAAGAATACCGGTTTACATTTAGCCGAGAGCTCTCTTCGGACGTGATCACTACCCTGTTTACTTGTCTTAGCTGAGCACACAACAGATAAGGCCCTTCCAGCAAGAGTAACCTATTCAAGGTTAACTCTCCCTGTGGGGAAAGCCCCCCACGCCCAAAAAAACTACAGAGCCCAAAGAAAAACATTTGTGCAGGACAACAGAAGAGGAGACTCTTTTTATTTACGTCTTCGCCAAGTTACAGCAGTAAACAAGTACACATCTGAGAGTTAAGACTGAGGGCTGGAAAAACAAAACCAAAGAACGATGCTGCGTATTATGATCTCTCCGACACAGCGGGGCGACGTTAACTCAAAGTGGACTTGTCGTTCGCTAGCTGGCTGTTGTTTCCTAGGCACGTCGGTGAAGGGAGTGTGTTCTGAGTCTGCCTGGAACAGCGTGAGAAGCCCCTGGAAAACAACAGAACAAAAAGACGCACATCTGGATATATTCTTGGAACTAATAATTATGGGCGACTCTGGGGAGAGTCTCACCATTGCAGGTGGTGGAAAGTGGCAATTAGAAACTTTACCGATTTAGGTGGGAGAAAACTATTGTGGGGTTGGATCCAACCAGATTTTTCTGTCGCTGTAAAGAAGGGAGGAAGGGTTTGTGTGTCCCCCTTTGAGCACAGAAAAAGCTTTGCTAGAGATTATGGGATGCACATGGAGAAGAACAAGAAGAGGAGGAGGAGGGAGAAGAGGAGGAGGAGGAGATTGGATTTATACCCCACCCTTCAGTACCCAAGGGAGTCTCAGAGTGGCTTACAAACTCCTTTCCCTTCCCCTCCCCACAACAGACCCCCTGTGAGGTAGGTGGGGTTGAGAGAGCTCTGACAGAAACGGCTCTTTTTCAAGAACAGCTGTGCCAGAACTATGGCTTGCCCAAGGTCACCCAGCTGGTGCAAGTGGAGGAGTGGGGGAATCAAACTCGGTTCTCCCAGATTAGACTCCGCTCACTTAACCACTACACCAAACTGGCTCTCAGAAGCATGTGGGATGGGAGAGAGCTACAGTAAGGAGGAGAAATGTGGAGGGATTGACTGAAAAAGTTGACTGGATCCAATTATTCTCTGCAAATAAAGAGATGGGATCTTTTTTTCCAGCTCTGTGCGGGGAGGAAAAGATGGAATTGTAGCGTTAAGTGATGACCAATAGCTTGAATTCTGGAGATGGCACACTAAATGGAAGTCTTCAAAATACACCAGTTTATAAACTCACACGGCTGATGAAACACAGACAGTGACTGCCCATTGGTAGGACTTGCCTTTAGTCTAACTGGCCACAAGTTGTTGTGTGTGTGTTAGGTGCCATTAAGTTGCTTCCAACTCAAGCCTATGAATTAATCACCTCCCAAATGTCCTACGCTGAGCCACCTTGCTCAGGTCTTGCAAACTGTGGGCTGTGGCTTCCCTTACTTGAGTCAATCCATCTCATGTCACGGTCCTCCTCTTTTCCTGCTGCCTTCAACTTTTCCTAGAATTATGGTCTCCCAGTGACTCTTGTCTTTTCATAATGTGACCAAAGCATAATAGCCTCAATTTAGACATTTTAGTTTCTAGGGAGAATTCAGGCCTGATTTAACACAGACAGTGACTGCCCATTGGTAGGGCTTGCCTTTAGTCTAACTGGCCACAGGTTGTTGTGTGTGTATTACGTGCCATTAAGTTGCTTCCAACTCAAGCCCATGAATGAATCACCTCCCAAATGTCCTATGCTGAACCACCTTGCTCAGGTCTTGCAAACTGTGGACTGTGGCTTCCCCTACTTGAGTCAACCCATCTCATGTCGCGTCTTCCTCTTTTCCTGCTGCCTTCAACTTTTCCTAGAATTATGGTCTCCCAGTGACTCTTGTCTTCTCATCATGTGACCAAAGCATAATAGCCTCAATTTAGACAATTTAGTTTCTAGGGAGAATTCAGGACTGATTTGGCCCAGTGCCCACTTATTTGACTTTTGGTACACTTGAGCCACCGCAGCTCCTGATTTGGCCTAGTGCCCACTTATTTGACTTTTGGCAGTCCATGGGATCTGTAAAACTCATAGAATCACGGTGTTTGAAGGGGGCGTACAGGCCCATCTAGTCCAACCCCCTCCTCAATGCAGGATCAGCCCAGAGCATCCCTGACAGGTGTTTGTCCAGCTGCTGCTTCAAGACTGCCAGTGAGGGGGAGCTCACCACCTCCCGAGGCAGCTGATCCCACTGTGGCAGAACTCTGACTGTAAAAAAAAGTTTTTCCTAATATCCCGCCGGTACCTTCCCACCCTTAATTGCAACCCATTCTTTCGAGACCTCTCCTCTGCTGCCAACAGGAACCGCTCCCTGCCCTCCTCTCTAAGTGACAGCCCTTCAAATCCTTCAAGAGAGCCATCCTTCTCCCCTCAGCCTCCTCTTCTCCAGACTGAACATCCCCAAGTCCCTCAGCCTTTCCTCACAGGGCTTGGTCTCCAGCCCCCCGATCAGCTGATTCCACTGTGGAAAAACTCGGACTGTCAAAAAGCGTTTCCTGATATCTAGCCGGTACCTTCCCGCCCTTAATTTAAACCCTCTCCTCTTTCTGCCAACAGGAACAGCTCCCTGCCCTCCTCTAAGGGACAGCCCTTCAAATCCTTCAAGAGAGCCATCCTGTCCCCCCTCAACCTCCTCTTCTCCAGACTGAACATTCCTCTCAGCCTTTCCTCGTAGGGCTTGGTCTCCTCCAACACCACATTTCAGACAAATCAATGTTCCTCCTGTTAGCTTTCACATCCGTACACACTTATGGGGTACGAAAGACAAGTCCACTGCATCACAGACAGGGCTATTTTGGGGCAGGAACGCAGAGAAACCGAGTTCCATCTGGCTCCCGAGTTGGCCACGCCCAGCAGGAACTCATTAGCATAATAGGCCACACCCAACTTCAGAAAGTCATTAGGATTGGCTTTTTTAGGGGTGTGTGGCCTAACATGCAAAGGAGTTCCTGCTACAAAAAAAGGCCCTGGGTTTTGACAACAAACAAGGTAAACAGAATAAGAAGCAAAAGGTGGCTGTGGCTGGATGAGCACACTTCTGGTAACATGGGGGTGTGGCCTAATATGCTAATGAGTTTCTGCTGTTGGGTGTGGCCTATTATGCTAATGACGTCCTGCTGGGCTTTTTCTACAAAAAAAGCCCTGATCACAGACATACCTAAATTATGGAGTCCAGGCCAGAGGTAAGGGCAAGAGGTCACCAAGCTCCAATCTGATTTACGCATGTGGCAGAGTAGACTTGTGACTTCACGCTGCAGACAGAAGATGATGCTTTCAAAATACCTCTCTTAAGCTAAGGAACCAACCGAGAAGCACATCCTGGGGGAAAAAGGGGATGGTAGCTTGGCCTGCTCCCCCCAAGCTGTGCTGGCTTTCAACTTGCGGGGAGGGCCTCTTAGGCAAGGTCGAACTCTTTTTTATTACCTCCTTCTATGGCCTGCGTAGGTCGGGGCCTTAGACTAGGAGTTGCCAGCGGGGTGCCCGTGCCGCCTGTCGACACTTTTTCCCTGGCGCTCACCAAGTGTTTTTAGAAACTGGGCAGGGCCAGGTGGGGGACTCGGCCCAGCAAGGCCTCTGACGGACCACCGGAGATTTGATGGGCAGTGCAGATTTTTTTTTTTAAATGTCGCTTCGGCAGCAGCTGCCCCCACAGCACAAGGATCTTCGACTGCATGAATGAAGGTAAGTTGTGGCGGCCGTTATGTGGCTGACCCCGCCTCCTGAGGAAGCCATTTTGGGGCTGCACCAACCACACTGTATCAGGATTCCAAAGGTGCCCACAGGCGGTGGCGGGAGGGGGGGGCGAGACCCCTACCTTAGACTATTTTTTTAAGCATTAGTTGTATTCATGGGAGATACCCACTGGAGGTCTGCTCAGGAGTCCAATGGAACCTCCCCATTCACAAGCAGTATATGCCCCAGATCCAGAGGCTTCAGTGTGAGGGTAAACTTGTGTGTGATTTGTATCATTTCTATCTACAGATGGGGAAAGACTTGCGTGATCCATACTGAAGTATTCCCCTGCACATAAAGAGCTAGACATCAGGGAACAGGCTTGCCATGATCCGGGCTGTGCAAGCAAGGCCTAGCGGGCCCAGGGAGCCTGCGTGGCAGTGGGAGGAGGCCAGGCCTACAACTCCCAGAAGCCCCTGAGAGGTTTTGGCTCCAATTTTATCCAATCACAGGGAAAGGGGACTTATAACAAAAGAGCTGGTACCGAAGAAGAGCTGTTCTTTCTTCCAAGAGGGCAGAGCCAGAAGGAAGGCGGCTGCAGGGAAGAGACCCTCATCCTGAGAGGAAAGGTGAGCAGACTGAGGCCCAACTGAGACAATGAGCTAGGGACAGTAAGTTTAGACGCGTTAGGGCATTTGGTTTCTTTTCTCTTCACCCCCTTATTGCACCTTTGTTCGTTTCCCATATTGGGCTGACCTCCTGTAAAATAAACCTTTTCCTTGTTGTTTACTCTGCCTGGTCCTCACGCTTATTTTGGCCAAAACAAGGGAGGTCTGAAGGTCTTGGGAGGGCCTTCTCAAGGGATCCTAAAACCAGAGTGGTGGCAGTGTCAAGTGACCCCCCCCCCCCCGAGCTGTGACAAGGCTCAATAAGAATCTCTCTCTTTGACATTTAATTTTCTATGTTGATTTTTTTTTTTTAATATGAAGCACCATCAGATCCATCTGCAGTCTGAAGCAGTACAGTTCAACCACAGGTCTACCATGGCAGGGGGAATTATGCCTGGAGGAGTGGCCGTGACCATCAGGCCCTGCACGTGACCTTCCGGGAGCATTTGGTCGGTTACCACTGGAAACGAAGATGGCCTTTGACCCGATTAGACAACGGGATTCTTACATTCTAGCAATTATGTCTGGATTGAAGAAAGCCCAGGGTGCTAAAACTTGACCTGGACTGGCACTGTTATTCCAGAGCAGAGGAGACTTTTCACTCTGATGCCGTCAAACTTCTAATTTTGTCTCCTGAACAGTTACTGTACTCCCAATTATATCTCATAGCCCTGTTTCCCAGGAAGCTGAAATGAGATAAGAGTTCGCGCCTGGCCTTTTTCCAGAAGTATTGCAACATCTTGTTCGGGCTGCCTTTTAATAGTTGGGCATAAGCAGATAAAGATCGTTTTAATTCTAATACTGTAGTCAGTAGGTCAGCGGGTATTTATGAATGTTGTCGATGCTGTTTGGAATGAGACAAAATTAAGATACGCAATTTTGTAAGTGTCCTTTTTTTTGGGGGGGGAAACAACAAAACTAAAATTGGCTTTATCAGTTCATAGACTCAAAGTCCTTGGTATGCAGGGAAAAATAACTCGTTTGTTTTTTCTTGACAAAATAATTTGTCCTGTCGTGGTGGTGGGCGGGGAAGAAGTTATGGAATTAAGTTGTATTTAT